AAATATATTCGCATGGGAAATTCATTTAATATTTATGCTCGTATGAGTGTATTAGAATGCATTTGCATGCATATAGCGTAAAATTACTGACCAAAATGCAGATTTTCAGATTTTTATTTATTGAGGAATACATGGCGCTTATTTATGCGCCTGTGTGCAAAGGCACATTGTAAATAATGGGCTACATTTTACCTCAGTAAAAAAAAAAAAGCTGTGCTGATATAATGTGCAATATACATTGGTAGCCTAACACAAACCTGCACTTTGTTCATCCAGAGCAAAGCAACAGGTTTTCTTTAATGTCCACCAACAACCAAGCAGCACATACTCCAACCATCTGCAACATCAGTCCATTGGACAAACTGCACCAGCAGCACACTCCAACTCCAACCGTCTGCAACATCGGTCCATTGGACAAACTGCACCAACAGCAAATACTCCAACCATCTGCAACATCGGTCCATTGGACAAACTTAACCAGCAGCACATACTAAAAAAAAACCATCTGCAACATCAGTCCACTGGATAAATTGGACCAGTTCCATGGATAAATACATAAAACCATCTGCAACATCGTTCCATTGGACAAATTGGACCAGCAGCACATAAAACCATCTGCAACATGTCCATTGGACAAACTGCACCAGCAGCACATACTCCAACCATCATTGGACAAATTGGACCAGCAGCACATACTAAAACCATCTGCAACGTCGGTCCATTGGACAAACTGCACCAGCAGCACATACTCCAACCATCTGCAACATCGGTCCATTGGACAAACTGCACCAGCAGCAGCACATACTAAAACCATCTGCAACATCGGTCCATTGGACAAATTGGACCAGCAGACCATCTGCAACATCAGTCCACAAATTGGACTAGCAAAACTCCAACCATCTGCAACATCAGTCCATTGGACAAATTGGACCAGCAGCACATACTAAAACCATCTGCAACATCGGTCCATTGGACAAATTGCACCAGCAGCACATACTCCAACCGTCTGCAACATCTGTCCACTGGACAAACTGCACCAGCAGCACATACTCCAACAGTATGCAACATTGGTCCATTGGACAAACTGCACCAGCAGCAAGTCCCGACACTATACGCTACAGGAAGATGTTTCCGTATCTGCTATTCTGAGCATTTTTTGTGGTCAACTTTAAAAGTAAAGCCGGCCATAGATGGATTTAATATCGGCTGGTTCAGAAGGGACCAGCCGAAATTTGATCCATCTATGGGCAGGCTGGTTGTACTGAAGTCAATCCATATACATCAACTTCAATACAACCAGCCTGGTCCCTACTGAATTGAACAATATTTGATCCATCAACTAGCCATGTCAGGTTTTTTTTGCCCGATCACTGCCCGCCATACCATTGTGTTCTGCCGGCAGGGAAGGCCAACCACCAACCAAATGCAATAGCACTGCAGGAGGGATCCTCCCAATAACATTGACTGTGTTGATGGGGGAAATTGAGCAATTTTGTTTTCTTCCTTACACCTGTGGTAGAAGGAAAGAAAAATGCACAATCTAGGAGCTGTTTAGGTGCTTCTGAACATCCATGTTTTCTACCATGGATGTGGTCATTCTATTATTGTTCCCTCTGCTCTATAGAAGTCTTGCACCACATATAGAAGGTCTTGCGCTCGCCTATAATCAGCATTAGCGGACCTTCTATATATGGTGCGAGACTGGTTTCCTTTTCTAAAAAACAAATGGAACAATCACAGAAGGACCACAGAAATTTCCCTTCATGGCAGAAAATATGTATGTTCAGAAGTACTTACTTTTAAACCAGGCCACAGAATAAAAAATGGCGACCTGTTTTTGGTATTGAATTTCTCTATATACAACAAAGTTAAAGTGGCTTAGGCACCATAAAAAATTAAAAGAACAGGGGAGGGGGGTGTGTGTGAGAAAAGACATCCCCACAAAAGAAGATCTGTAATGATTATGCAGTCAGTGGATAGAACTGCAGCATGCAGCAAGGGACACAGGCCTTTTACTGCCCCCCAAAATTGTGTTGAATGCTGAAGGTTCTTTCGACATAGCTCTGCTGGACAGCAAAGATCCCTGTCATTGCCCATCTGACCGTTTGGTCTTGATCTTCTCTTGCAGTTGTTTTTTTACTTCTGCAATAAGTTTTAATCAGTTTTAGGAAATACAATAGAGAACTACAATGTATTAATTACAGTCACCAATTCTAACATGGGTAAGAGTTGGGTAAATTGCTGAATATGAAAAAGTAAATTTCATGTTACTTGTCCCACTGAAACAGTTGTGTTGATCAATTGGTCATCAAAATGCAGTGATTCAAACTTATGATTGGTGTCAAGCACTGACAGAGGAGAACTGGTCATACCAGTTGTAGAAAACAAGAAAGTAGAAGAGAAGAGTATAAGAAAAGATAGTAAAGTCAGCAGGATAGGGTGCAGAGGAGGGAAAGAGGGTACAAGGGTAGACCGGGATGAGTAGGATGGGGAAGGGCCTGAGGAGACTTTATTTAGTTGCCATCAAAATCCTATTGAAATTTGAAGACGTAGTGGATGATCTAGGTGTCCAAACTTTGTAAAATGTATGCATGAAATAATGCTAATAGTTTTTCATTGGCTAAGTACTGGGATATTTTCCTGTATAATGGCTGGCATAGACAACTTACATGCCTTTTCTAAAGTCTGCTTAGCCGCAACAAAAATAGAAGTTAAAAGTATGACCTGGATGGTGCTATGTCCCTCAGCTTTCAGGTTCAATAGGGCTTCCCTAGGGTTTTTCCAAATGGTTCTACCCAAGACGGTTTATTGAAGTTGGTATATGCCAACCAAGGAACATCTAATTTTTAGGCAATCCTTTCAAATATGTACGAGTATGCTTATGGCAGTGCACCCCAAAATGGATAGAGGCCCCAAATACAAAAAATTTAGCTATCTTTTGGGGGAATATGAACTACCTTAGCATTAGTTTGAAGTTGTCTTCTACCACAGTTGATTTGAGTGGGCTGTGGTGTCCCAGGTTTGGGTCCAACCAGTTGGGTCAGTTTGCCTTTGGAAGAACGGTGCTATACAAAATGAGATTTATTCTGTAGACAACTCACTATAAAGTGAAACTAGAGAGTATTTTTGCAAGCTTTTAATTGGATCATTTACCTATACTTGAGCACGGTACTGCTGTTTGAACATTAGTATTCCTGTCCATAATTTCTCGTGTGTGTATTTGTGCAAAATAAATCCTAGCTCAGAATGGAATCTTAACCTCTTCAAATGAACACATTACACGCATATGCGTGTATAATACTGACCAGCAATACATGCATTTTATATTTACACGCCTCTGTGTACAGGCACATTGAAAAGTATAGGCTGCTTTTAGATCAGTAAAAAGAAATAAAAATGTCTATAAATGCTGCATTTTTAGGCACAGTGTGCAAGAGGCCTTATTTGTTCAAATTAAAAAACATACCTGCTGCTCCATATTTTCATGACATTTCAAAGGCAGATCTGTAAAATTCCATTTAACTGTACTAAATTCCATTTCATTGTACTCCTTTACACCGCCTGCTCAGTCATACTTCAAGTTCAACCAAGTTAGGGAAGTGGTTAATTAAAGAGGAACCACAAGAGCGAAGATTTTGGGTCCCGGACATTACGATCTGCTGTTGAAGTCTCTAGATATTCCCGAATGCTCAGCCTGTATGGTGGACTATTATGTAGTGGCGTTTCCTTATCTCACAAATGCTGACTACAGCGGGAGATCACAATCTTTTCTGGGCAGGGATTCAATCCACAGCTCTGCTTAAAGCCGGCCCCGCACTGCCAAATAAATAAGAACCACGGGAATTGTCAGAAGTGATCCGTCAGGCCTGCCTTCTGCTTCACTTCTGCTCTAGGGCTGTAACAATGCTCCTGTAACCGAAGCTTATGAAACTAGAACGCCGACGTCCATAGGGCCCATCAACACTTCTGTGCTCAGGAGCGGCACAGCTCAGTGCGTTTGCCTTGAAGGTCTTCTATGGCAAAGGGAATCATTTTTAGGCCACATTTACACTGGCTCCTCTGCGCCTAACCTCTGCTGCATTTAAAAAAAGCTACAGTTGTGCTCAAAAGTTTGCACACCCTGGAAAAATCGTGACAATTTGGCATTTATATTGAAAATACTGATCATGCCAAAAAAAGGCCTTTTATTTAACCACTTCAAGTCCGGACACTTTCACCCCCTTCCAGTCCAGGCCAATTTTTCAGCTTTCAGTGCTATCACACTTTGAATGGCAATTGCGCGGTCATGCAACACTGTACCTATATTAATTTTTTAGCATTTTCTTTTTAGACACATAAAACTTTATTTTGATGGTATTTATTCACCACTGAAATTTTTATTTTTTTGCTATATAGATGAAAAATTCCAAACATTTTGAAAAACAAAAGTGTTTTTCTTATTAAATTTTGCAAATAATCTTTCTTCATAAATCTTGACCAAAATGTATTCATCTATCTTTTAGTAAAAAATAAAAACCCAAATTAGTTTATAACAAAAAATTATAATTTTTCAAACTTTTTTTGACATGTTTGTTTATATTATTATTTATGTTTTTGTTATAACATACTGTCATCCTAGCAGTACAGTGTCACCATAGTAACACTGTACTACTTGTGGGGGGTGATGAAGCCTTTTTTTTTTTGTACCCATAAAGGCTGTAAAAGCAATCATTTCTCCTTCTCTCTGGCTGCTGTTTGAGCTGTGATTGGTCACAGCTTGTCACATGGTACAAAACTATTGTGAATAGCTTTGTACCATGTGACCTTTGTGATCATTCACAGATTTCACTAGTAGTAAGCAATGATGTCAGAAGTGACATCTTGCTTACTTTTTATTCATGTGATCACTGATTGGCCAATCAGTGATCACATGATCAGGACCTCACACAGAGGTCCTGTACAGCTCCCAGGGAGCGTGCACAGGCGGGGAGGACATTTATAAAACAGCCACCCGCTCCCAGGGGCGGACTGACAACTCATGGGACCCCCGGGCAATAGAGGATCATGGGGCCCCTATGTCCTTGCCCAAACTCAAAAAAGCCTATAAAAAAGGTACCAGGGGCATCTCATGGGGCCTCCTACTGACCCCGGGCCCTCGGGCAGGGCCCGGGTTTCCAAATGGCCAGTCCGCCCCTGCAATGCTCCCATCCGGCTGTTTATATACATGGGCATGATGGGAAGTGGTTAAGGATAGTGATCATATGAGGCTATCCATTATCACATAGTTGTTTGGCTCCTCTGTAAATCATAATAACAGACACCACCCAATGGCCATGATCAAAAGTTTACATCCCCTGGAATGTTTAGCCTTGGTACAGACATACAAGGTGACACACACGGGTTAAAATGGCAATTAAAGGTTAATTTCCCACATATGTGGCTTTTTAAACTACAATTAGAGTCTGTGATTAGTCAATGAGTTTGTAAGCGCTGTGGATGCCCTAAGCAGGCTAGATACTAAGCCAAGGGGAGCAGAAAAGAACTGTCAAAGACCTGTGTAACAAGGTAATGGAAACAAATTTGGCTCTGAGGAAGAGGGGACCGCCTCTCAAAACGCGTCAGCCTTGATATCATCCATCCCTCAAAGGGACTAGTCCAGGGGACCAAGTCACCCTCATTCTCTGGTTGATTAATGTGCTATTCGTTCTATGTCGCATGTGAGTATACTGTATCTGTTTTTTTATACAAATAAAGGTACCACCGTGGTAATGCGCTAGGCTGGTGCGCCCTCTGTGTTTTACATAAATGATGCGGCACCATTTTTCCCACTGACACCAACGATAAGGCACTCTTCCCCCGACTAATACGAACAATGGGGCACTATTCCTCCCACTAAAACCAGTGATGGGGTATTGTTAACTCTCACCGACATTGGGGCATCTTCTACTCCCACGGGCCACAGTCCAGCCTGAAGGCCAGTAAACTGGCCCTTTGTAAAGTTCAGAGACCCCTGGCTTAGTGCACTGGAGTACCATTCAAAATGAGTTACACCACAAAGTGCTAACACATGAGCTGCGTGACACACGTTTTTGCGGTGCGCAAAGTCTGTTTTTGGCCGACAGGTTTCATCATTTTTTTAAATAGAATTCAAGTTTAGGAAACCATATTTGGATTATGTTATCGTCCATACTGAGACAAAGCATTAATAAGAAATAGTAGCGGTATCTACAAACACAGCTCTGGTGTTACAAAGTATTTATATATTTTTTTTTCTGCTTAGACCACAGATCTTCAGTTTTTGAAGAACGAATATTTCCCCAAAATGAAGTATGGGCCAATGTGAACAAATGGACCAATGTTAGAATCTGCCTTGCTGAACAGACAATGGTTTCAGAGGACATGTATGCCCCAAGCAGCAGATGTTAAAGGAAGATTTGTATTACATCCTGAATTCTGCTGTGTGTGTTTGTGAGCACGTACAGTACAGTGTTTCACTGGGACACGTGTTGTTGTTGTCCATGCTATGTATGTATCGCTCTGTATGAAACAGATAAGAACGCTTCATGGCTTTACAATCCTCTCTGTCTCCAAACTGCTAGCTATGCAAAACTAGAACACTTTATTGCAGTTGTTTTACAGTCTTTCTAGTTAAAGGAGATCCGTAATGTAATATCTGCATCTAAAACGATCATGTAACAAACCCAGTACCATGGACCCTTGGGCAACATGGGCAAACTTACCAGCTTAACCACTTGCCCTCCAGAGGATTTACCCCCTCCTGACCAGGACATTTTTTGCTTTACGGCGCTGCACTACTTTAACTGACAATTGTGCGGTCATGCAACGCTGCCCCCAAAATGAAATTTGCATATTTTTCCCACGAATTGAGCTTTCTTTTGGTGGTATTTGATCAGCTGTGCGGTTTTTATTTTTTATTTTTTTGCGCTAAAAAAGACAATTTTGAGAGAAAAAAAATATTTTGGACTTTTAGCTATTAAACATGTCCAGTAAAAAATTGCAAAAAATTTAGTCCTAAATGTAAGCCAAAATGTATTCTGCTACATCTTTGCTAAAACAAAATCCCAATACATGTAAATGAATTGGTTTACGTGAAAGTTATAGCGTTTACAAATACTGGAATTATTTTGTTATTTTTACTAGTAATAGCAGCGATCAGTGACTTATAGCAGGACTGCGGCAGGCATTCTGACACTGGGGGGGGGGGAACTGACTTGGTGTCACTGACATCCCCAGTGACACCAATAAAGGGATCAGTGCTAACAAAAAAAAAAAAAGCAAAAACACACTGTACGAAGGGCACTGGGCAGGAAGGGGTCAACAAGTGGAGTGATCAAAGGGTTAACTGTGTGCTGTTTTACTTGTGTGTGTGCTTCACTGTAATCAGTGTGCATGAGCTGGCAGGGAGGATAACTGTATTGTTTACCTACAGTTCTCCCCGTCAGAGATGCTCGACAATCACCGGGCGCTGGCGAGTAATCACTGGCCAGGATCCGATGATTGACAGCCACGGGTGCGAATGACATAGCGGGTAGGGTCCGTGCGCCCCCCTCCACCCGGAAATGCAAAATCACGTATATATACACGTGATTTTGCGCACCCGTGCCACCCTGTAGCACTATATCTGCTATAGGGTGTTCGGGAAGTGGCTAGAGTGGACCTATGGACAAAATACTAAAATGACATATGATGAAATCTGTCACTAGCATTCACACAACAGTCTCCCTGTAACATAGTTGTATTATCTGTTGATCCTGCCAGTAAATCTGTTATTTTTCAGCTTTCTTTAACAGACCAGGCTGTGTCTAGCAAAAGTGGCAGGGGTAGGGACAAACCATTTAATCCTGGCAGGGGTGCTTACAATAGTCAGCTTTTATTAATTTGTTTAAAACCTTTATAACAAAAATAAATAAATATTTTTATTTATTTTTTAACCATTTGCCGCCCGCCCTATGGCCGAATGGCGGCCGGCAAATGTCATCAGCGTTCCGGGTGGACGCCATATGGCGTCCTCCCGCACATGCGCAGATTGCGCTCCTGCAGAGCCGTGCAGCGGCGTGATCTGTCACCAGCCGTGTACCTCGGACACGGCTGATGACAGATCTGAGTATCGGCCACCTTTGCCGGTACCATGTGACCTGCTGTGACCAATCACAGCAGGTCACATGACAGTTGTATACAATGGATGGCTTCATTTATGCCATCCATTGTATACTAGTGTCTAGCTGTGAATGGTCACAGCGATCACATGCACATGTCATGTGATTAGCTGTGGCCAAATCACAGCTAAGCACATAAAAAAAAAAAAAAAAAAACCCTGAATGAATCGATGTCATTCAGGTAAATGCTTGCTTATAGCAAAGTAATTCTTTGCTATAAGCAAATGGTGTAAAAAAAAAAAAATAAAAAAAAACACTGATCACTTCGCTCCGCCTGCCCCACTGTATCACTCATTTACAGTCCTCTGTAAGTCCCGACAGCCATAGTGGCTGGACACTGTTGTAGCGCATTGATTCTTCCTGTCAGTATATCTGCTTAGCCGTACATCCCTTACTGGCAAGCAGATATACTGACAGGTCTACAGGAGTCCTGTATGGCACCAGCAATCTACTGATCGCTAGTGCAGTGGTTTACAGGCTTCTAAAAAAAATCCACCCCCCTTGGGGCCCTGTCTGCCCAAAATAATAAATGCAATTTTTTTACCTGCAAAAAAATTTTTTATTTTTTTTTTTGCAAAAAAAGGTGAACTTATCCTTTAACAGAGAGATCGCCATATTATATATATATATATATATATCTATATATATATAAATATAAAATAAGAAAGAAAGCCTACAAAAAGAAAACTAATGCAACTATCACAACTAAGAATTGGTAAGTTGCAATGTCTGCTTTTGGGTTTAATATAGCTTCAAGCATTAGCTGGTAATTTGTTAGTCACCTTTATAAAGTGCATCTTCAACTCCCCAGGGGTTGAGAATGTTGCTGTCCAAGTGCATCTACACTGCTCCTCCAATGATACAGTGGAGGAGTGAGCATAGCCACCCTAGGAAGTGTGTTGTTTGCTAGACTACCAGGGAAGAAGGAAAAAAGAAAGAAAACTAATGCAGCCACTAAATCTAAGCACTAGTAAATACAGTATGTTACATGCTATGTTTTTAGAATTAGAGACACTTTATTAACTATCGTTCTATCTGATGGGATCGATCCCTTCATTATTATCACATGATTTTAACTGTGAGCTGTGGAGTTGTGTGATTGAGCGACATAACTCCCATGACCACACAATGCTGTTAATTGTGTAGCAGAAACTATTAGTGATTAATCTCCATTCTTCTACTTCATAGACTTTAATGGTGGTTAGAGATTAAAAGCTCAACAATTGCTCATTTAGGAGAATCTTGGGCTGTTTTTGCCATCCAAGTAAACCCCATGGGGTTAATTCCTGAGAATAATCTATAAACAATCTCCTACTTTAGAAACAAAGGAACCATGCCATCTCTAGCAGATTTAGATTTTCAGTTTCTGAGATTAAAAATCACCCATGTAGCCTTGACCTTGTGCTGGCCACATACTAGAAAATTTTCAAATGAACATTTATACGAAAATTTATACCAAAATCCACATTACATCTGATGACTTAAGAAATGTCCTTCGAAAGTCCTTCAAAATTTCATTTGCTTTTAACATTCGATTTTGGGAAGAATGGGCCCCCCTGAATGAAAACCTCATTCACGGTTTGAGAATTACCCAGCTCAAGAAAGATTTTTATCTCGCTCCTTGCATTGCATTAAAAAACGAACGTCAATAATGCCCCATACACACGATAAGAAAATTGTCTGAAAAAGTTCGCAGAACCACTGATCAAATGATTTTCTTTTCGTTGATGAGCAGGATGTTTTAACCGATAACGATATTGTGAACGAAAAAATTTGGTTGAACAACAGTGAAAAAGTTTGTCATTTCGCATACGAACGACCTATTTTCTATGCGGTGGTATGGCGGTCGTACAAAAAAAATCTATCAAGCGCTATCATGCATGAGCGGAAACAGAAGATGACCCGGATGTTTATGTCCAAGGAATCTTCATAAACATGAACGAAAAATCCAAATGTTAAAAGTAGATTGGACTAATGAGATCATGAAACCAGAATTCTGCATATTATATTTTATGTAT